GATGCGTAAATTTAGCGATACTTACATGAAGCCAGAGTAGTTCGTGACGCGGCCCAGTGTCGGCGTTCTTGAGAAGATGAAGTCTCCCTCTTGGGTAATTCAATGCAGTAATATCGTTTCCGTACACCGGATTGCCAGTGTCTAGCTCTTGTGAAGCCGCGGCAGACTATGGACGTCGTAAAAATTCAGCTTGGAGTGGAAAGGTTGGCTCTTCAGTTCCACAAAGTGACACTCACTTTGTTGAGACAGTTAGTCCGTCGGTACATATGCCATCTCAACGCGACACGAAAAGATGTACAAAGTAGCATGGTGTGCACTCTCTTCGGTACTCCAGCCCTAAGTGAAGTGAAAATAGAGCAACTGGGTGTAATAAACGTGAAGTATAACAGAGGTATCGGGGATATGGTGTTTGAGAGTGACCATCGTAGTAGACTGCCGCTCAAGAGTTCCGTCTAGGCTGAGACGGAACGCGAGGGAATTGAGCCATAACCTTTCCGTCATATGGTCCGCTCGGGGGAATGAACTCCGTATCCGGCGACGCGGGATATAGGAGCCTTCCCAGAGCCTTTTCCGCAGAGGCGGGAGGAATCTCGGGCTCGATGCTTAGATGGTATAGCGTGTACACCCGGGCAGGTCGGGACAAGCTCAAGCCGAGTATCTGTAGGCCACCCGACGCCGTCTTCACCACGTACCGCGCCCAGAGTAAGACAGATTGGTCTTCGGAAGCGCAATTCACAAGCGCAGCTGAACAGAGGCCGTCCGTCTCATCCGAGGGCAGCACGGGGTCCTTGTATCGAACGGAGATGTCGGCGACCCTGAGAGGGGGAGGGTTATGGGACGTAGCAGTGACAGAAATAATGATGCGTGAACAGGCGCGGGGATGGCTGGAGTGCAAGACGAAGCCGTGGATCTCTGCGCCTTGTGAAATGCGTTTCACGACCACAGGGTTTCCGGACTGGTAGTGACTGGGTCTCGAACTCGTGATGTCGCGAGCGGATACTGTGTATGAGATGTCGTAGTGGTGCTTTCCAAGCAGGGATCGACACCAGTCGTGCAGCACAAAAGTTGGTCAGCCGCTTGGGGACGACTGCCGCCCCACTCTGCGCATGAGGTAGGGGCGATGGTGGGACGGGGAAGGTGGGGACCATGACCGACGGCACGAAGGACTGGGGCGGCCTGTGCAGGACGACAATATTCTTCATCCTGATAGCACGACGATAGAGCTCGAGGGTGAACGAGTGGTGCCACATACGGTCCCACCGGCCAGACGTCGTTTCCACCGCAGAAATCACGTACTCGTTGTGGGATTGCGCGTCGCGCGGCCGATTCAGCGTGAGGACGATGAGGTTTTCGTCGTCGTCCTGGCATTCCAGCAGCTTCAAGTACGCAAACCGCGCCGATTGGCCGAAGACCTCGAACAGTGCTGTTGTAGGATTGGGGGCGGGTATTTCATGGGGGATGAGTGGGAGACAGGAGCGTAATCTCCGCGTTGGGGCCGGGGGAGTTCTGACGGTGCCGGGTGTCTGCCCGGCTACCGTACCCCTCCCGTGGCAAGAGGCTCTTAGCCCGGCAGCGCCAGCGCTGTTGCAAAGCACGGGCAGGTTTAGAACCCGGTTCCCTGCCGTATACTGGCCGGCGCGGTGCGACCAGCATGTGGCCCCCTTTCCTTCCCCCTCTTCCCTGTCTGTCAAACAACCCTCTCTATTGCTCCCGGTCGTCTAACTTATACTACTACCATACTACTGTGCCCGCAGCGGCCTCGGCCGTCGCACCCCCCACCCCCCCCCTACGTATGCCTGTCGACCCCTCGGCTCTCTCCCGTAGTCACCCGTGCTGTATTGCCTACCATAGGGCTCGGCCCTCGAGGGCAATAAACGAGGATTCAAAGAAAGAA